AACTGTTTCTCTGATAGGTAAGAAATGATACACTTTTAATTTGCAGGTAAAATATCACATTGTATCATGGTTTAAGGAAAATACGAGATCAAAGTTTAAGTGAATTTACAGATATTCATATTTCCTCTCTCCCTACTTTTTCAAGATCCTTTGCATAAGAAACGTGTAGAATTTATGCAGAAACTCTGTTTATAGTTTGCAGGTGGCACTGATATTCATGTAGTCTAGCTTGTCCAGTTATTCAAAAGGGCAGATTCTCCTCCGCCCTGCTTCGCACACCTATGCACTTTTGTTCATCCTCTACTTGCTAGTCATATGTTTAGCAAGCCATCATCTCCTAGTGGGAACAAGTGTGTGCAAACTCCGTTTCTTGTCATCACAAAGGCAGAATTAGAGCAATCATGCTCTCCATCAGAACACCATACGAGGAGTGCCTGTTCCTTTCATAACTCTTTCTTGCCTCCGTAGGTGCTAAACATCAGCTTGCACTCATCCTGCTGGATTAGAATCCTCTCATTGCTCCCTGTCTTCTCACTCTCAGGCCAGTACCATGAGAAAGCCCCTTCGTGTCAGTGTGGTCTGTGATCATCGGCATGCAGGAGGGCCTAGTGACTGAGTGAAGCCAGCCAGCCCCGAGGGAAAAAATGTTGAGTTGCTAGTATTATCACTCTGGTGCTGATCAATGCTGGAATAGTGAGGTAGCAAAAAGAAAAACAACAACAACAAAAGGTTAACTCCAAAGCTGTTTTAGGACATCAAATATATTTGATAAATGGGATAGTCATTTGGCATTATTATCCATTCTAATATTTTTATTTATATTGAATATTTTTTAATGAAACTTGGCTGTTAGGAAGTGGATTTTAAAGCAAGAATAATGCTCTCGTCTTCCATCCATGAAGACAAGCTATTTCAGAATATAACTTTGAAGAACCAAAAACCGAAATCAAACTCATTGCCATCCCATTGATGCCGACTCATAGTGACCCTATAGGGCAGGGTAGAACTGCCCCTGGGAGTTTCCGAGACTGGAACTGTTTATGAGAGTAGAAATCCCTGTCTCTCTCACTCGGAAGAGCAACTTGTTTTGAACTTCTGACCTTGAGGATAGAAGCCAAATGTGAAGAAACCCTGGTAGCACTGTGGCTCAGCTCTTGACTGCCACCTCGAAAGCTGGTGTTTCAAACACACAGGGGCTCCATGGGAGACAGCCGTCATGATCTGTTTCCATAAAGACTGCAGCCACGAAAACCTTGCAGGCGGTTCTGCAGGCAGTCACTGGGAGTCTAACATCAGCCTGATCGCCCCGTGCACCGGCAGCAGTAGCAATAGCCTGGAAGTATTTAAGGCATCGTTTATTGTTTTAAGTCTACAGTAGCTGTTAAAAGGGATTTATCTCTGTATAACTATAATACCTATTTCTAAAGAATTTTTAAAGGCCCCCAATAAATATGAAACTCACGTTTTTCAGTATTTTAGTTTTATCTGTCTTGTTCAGCACAACCCAAAACACTTCAAGTTGCTTTTTGTTAAAAAAAAAAACAACCAAAAATGCTAATTTTATCTTGTGCAGCCTGCCTTGAAGTTTGTCTTTTTATTGATTGAATTCCAAGTCTATGTTGAATAATGTGAATAATATAAATCTGTTATATGTGTTTAGCATATTGCATGTGTATGGAGAAACTTCCCAAAGCTTATGGGAAAATGGAATTAAAAGATAATGAATTTTCCCATGAACTTTTGGAAGTCCCTATATATATTAAAGTATTATAAAACATATGCCCTGTTTATTGTGGCTGAACAAAATTGCTTTCAGACTCAAATGACTCAAAACAGGCATATTATTTGTAAACGTCTTCAATTATTCTCTTCTTCAGTCCCTAACTGCCCACATTTCCGGTGCACAATCATAGAGTCAAACCTTATCGCAAACCCGATGGAAACCCTCTCTCCTTTTCAGTAGTTCTCTCAGCCTTTGTGATCCTACATTCCAGAGATATAACCACAGGGCCTGGAGCTGCAACTGTACCTGCGTTGCCCGAAAAGCTTGGCAAACTTCTCCTTTGGAATCTAAAACTAACAGTTTCTTGTTAGTGTACCGGAACAAAATGAAAGTTTCTTCTCTTACAATCAATGGCAGTTTAGGAAAGCAGTTTTTCCTGTCATGGATAAATGCTAGGGAACACTAACCCAGCATCTACAATATGCTAACCCACCGTGCTTTAAATAAAAAGAAGCTAAAGTGCATTGGATAGTGTGTGCTCCCAAGGATGACGGCAGTTTCCTGTTAGGAAGTCCTGAAGAATGCATGGTGTACTTGGCAGGCGGAACTCTACCAGTTAGAGATGCAGACTAGGACAAATTTTGAACTTTTCCTTCTTTTCTTCCTTCCTCTCTCTTTCTAATAGAGAGATCTCCATTTTATATTACTAAATTTAATCAGATTAAAAGGCCTTTAATATAGTTGCCCATCTTTAGGTTATATTCACAGGCATGCCAAAGAACAGATAGCTGCTAATGTTGGAGGCAATAGCTCCCTAGAGTGGCGCATATGGTTAAGCACTGGACTCCTAACCAAGAGAAGTTGGTGGTTTGGAACCCACCCACAGGCACCTCAAGTTGGGCGTGGAGATTCCCTTTCAAAAGGTGGAAACCTAGGAAACCCGGTGGAGCATTCTGCTCTGCACATGGGTCCCCTGAGTTGGAATCAACTCCACAGCAAATCAGAACAAAGCTTCTGCACTTTCATCACATTTGAATGTCAACTTATAATAGGAAGAGCACAGCTTAGGAATTAGTGACAGAATTGATTATGAGTTGGGTGCTAACCGAAAGGTCAGCAGTTCGAAACTCGCCTCAAGAGAAAGGCTTTCAGTTTCCTTAAAGGGTTAGTTTCTACTGGCACACAGGGTGAAGGCTATGAGTCGGCATGGACCTGATGAGGATGATGGAATCCCACTTTTGTTACTCCATAACTCTGTGACCTGAGTAAGTCCATGCTTTTTTCTGAGTTTCTGCTTTTGGGCTATAAAACATAGATACAAGTGCGTATTTGGCCTAAATCACAAACAGCACTGTGCTGAGGCTGAACATTCAAAGAGACTTTACATACTGTAAAGTATTATACAGGTTCCAGTTGGGTCTTGTGATACTTCTCATTTTTCAGATCAGCAAAGAAAAGTTTAAGGGGTCTAATACCCTTCAAAGGCCACATATTAAAGGGGACTGGTTCTAAAACCTATGTCTATATTATTAGTATTTCTCAACCTCAGCAATGTACACAGTTTGGGTGAGGCAATTCTTTGTTGGGCATGAGAGCTGTCCTGTGCGCATTGTAGAATGGTTTCTACCATCCCTGACCTGGACCCACTAGACTCCAGTAGCACCCGCCTCCCCGTTGTGACCACCAAACAGGTCTCCACAGTGTCTAACATCCCTGCAGGGCAAAATCACCACCCGGGGCTTGTAGCATGTCACTGGTTTGTACAGTTCTAGAGCTAACATTCTTACTACTTTTATTATTGCTGTTGTGAGTAGTTCGTGGTTAGAATATGCCAGAACATAGCAATTTTCAGAATTTTCATCCATCATTTTTCTGTCTCTGAAGTAATGGTTTGCATTCTTTGAAAGAAGGTGAGTTTCTTGTCCCTGTAGACTATTCATGTGGAAACAGGATCGCACCTACCCAGGAGGCTCTTCACAGTGAATGACAAGAACCCACAAGCCTTCCTTCCCCTGCAATTGTATAATCATTTCCTACCATGCCCTCCTAGTCTCTTTTGAACGGTCCTTTATTATCTGAAACATTCATGGGCTCTTACAGTTTGTTATCAGTTAAGAGGCAGAAACACATGCATTTTCATATTCATTTATCTCATGTAATTTTCACAGTAAGGTTTGGAGTTTCCATCAATTGTCGGTGTTACTTTTATTGGGGGGAACAATCATTTTCATTGCCTGCCCCTTCGATGTTGGTATTGTGCTGATTACAGAACTAGATGTGGAAGCTCAGCAGGTGCCTTTCTTGCCCACACTGTATGAAGAATAGCACATTTCTGAATTACTCAAAATAAAGTCAATGCTCTCGTCAGCATACCTCTCCTTTTTCTTTTCCTCATACAGCGTCTTTCAAAGCATGCCTTTTTGACTTCATTTTTGGATCCGAGAACCAACTTTCTTAATGGTCTTAGTGGGCTTCTTTTTCTTTTTGTCTCTTAGTGAGTGAATGTTATCTCCCCACAAAAGGACCCAGTAACACGTCCCCATCTTCTCTCATTTTCCATCTTTATGTCTACTCTATATTCTCTTCCTAAAATTAGCAATATATCTCCAGTATATTTTACTATGGATTAAGGAGCTTCAAATTTTTACGATTGACTTTATTTTGTTTAAAATTTTCTGTTATCAAAACTATTGGGAAATGTTATGCATTTGATCTGGGCCTCATTGAATAGTCTGTAATATTTTGTACATAGGGATATATGAATTGAAACTTTTCAAAACATTAGGTTTTAAGACAAATACCTGCTAACAAGTACAATAAATATAATTGACCATGATTAAAAGTGCTGTCTGAAAATATTGCTATAACCTGAGAATAGGCTGGTGTAATTACTGGTATTGAGGAGGGACTGGAATTACCTTTGAGACTCTGAACTGTGCTTATGCAAGATCCAAAACAGCAGTTTGAGCCAATGAGAGGGGGAAATGATGGATTACTTTATAGTGATATAACTTTATTGCCCATTAAATATTTTTTCCTTTTATTTAAAATGTATGAATCATTTTAATTACTAGGTGGTTCACTTAAAACAAGGAGGAAAGACCAATCGGCTCCTGCTATAAAATGCTAACGTTTGGTCTGACTAAAGGAGTCGGTTTTCTTTTTGGACCAGTCTGTGTTCTTATTGACCAGCTATCATGGGTTCTAATTTGATGTGCAGCCAATCATGTCCGTGTGTGGTGTAAGTAACGTTGGTGGGTTTTGCTTCCTTTTGCAGGTGGCCTTTTTGAAGATGTAACTGTTGGAGCCCAGACATTCCCTCCCCGGCAGACAGCTCTCCAGCACCAGCACAGAATGCACAAAAGGCTAGCAGCCGGCCCAGTGGGTAGCTGTTACCAAGACATGAACCAGAGCTACAGAATTTTACTGCAGTTTTTACCTTCCTTGTTTGCATATTTTGTCTAAGAGATTTAACTTTAGGTCTTTGGGGGGAAAAAAAAAAAGGCTTGTGAAGAAAGGTTTAGTAGCAGGCTGTCAGCAGGCTGAGATAAGTATAGAAGTTACATTTCTATTTCCCACAGAGAGGAATATTCAAAATATGTGCTGTGTCAGCACCACCTGGGAGGATATTAGCTAGTGGAGACCCATCTGTCCTGTGTGGAAGGCACTGAGGAGCTTCACTGTCAGAACTGAAATGTTCGCTGCTGTAAATCCTAGGAAATACATATTATAAGGGTTTCTCAGCTTGTTCAAAATAAGTGTATAAAAAGAAACAATTTGGAGCACCTAATAAAATGATTTTTTTAAAAATTTGGAATTTTAAACATCCAAACCTCTTCAGAGGAAACATTCATGTTTGAGCCCAGATTTGTTATACACAATGATCAAATGTAAGGATTTCCTATTTATTCCAGCCTGTATGTATTCCTTTGCTAAAAACAATTGCAAATTAATAAATGTACATCATTGGCATCCTGTTACAAAAGTGTCTGAATCCATGTGTGCAGAGGCAGATCATAAGAAGACGACTGAATGAGATTATTGAATTACAGGGAATCTTACAAGTTCATGCCGGGTCCCAGTCTTACGGAGAAGACATGAGACTTGCCTGTAATCACTCAACAAGGATCCAAGCTGGGGCCAGGACTAGGCCCACTGCCCCTGTACCTGAGCTTTGATGTATGTCTTTCTGGTGATCATCCTTTGCCACACTCCTCACTCAGGGCAGTCTTTTGGTTCCCTCTTATACTTGCCAGTTGCCAAACCTGTTGATGATGTTACTTCTAGCTTACAGACCATCTGATACACTTCCTTTAATAATAATAATAATAATAATAATAATAAAAGACCTGAGCTTTCTGTCTCCTAAATTCTCAACAGAATCCCTGGGTAGTACAAGTAGTTCATGCTCCACTATATACTGAAAGACTGGTGGTTTGCATCCGCCCAGAGGCATCTCTGAATAAAAACCTGGCAATCTGCGTTAGGCACAGCCTTGAGGGCCCTGGGAAGTGCAGTTTCCCTGCCCACGTGGCCTACCAGAAGGTGGAAAAGACTCAGTGGCTGCTAGTCTGATTAATTTCCTAACAAAGGTGTGCCACTTGTCAAGGTGACTGGGTGGACCTTTTATGATTTCTTCTTCCTTGTGATTCAACCAAAACACGTTTCCTACCAGCAGAGCAGGATGGAGTACTCCTCATTCTGTAATGAGTGGCCTGCTACAGGACTAAAACTCCTCCTGGTCCTGCAGAGCCCTTTTATTAAGCACAGTTTGAAATGGTGAAGATCTTGAGGCCATGTCCAAGACTCACAGCCACAGAGAATTCATTTGGCTCCCCTTAAGATACTAGGCTAACAAAGACCATGCGGGCTTTTTAATGCGTTAATTTCGATGTCAGCGTAGAGCAGGGTTCCTCAGCCTCAGCACACTTGACATTTTGGACTGGATAGTTATTGATTGGGTTGGTGGGAAGGGAAAGGGAGGCTGTCTTGTACATTAGATGTCTGGTAGTGTCACCAGCCTTCATCCACAAAATGCCTGTACCACCTCTACTTTAGTTGTAACAGCTACAAAAACACCTCTAGATAATGCCTCAGTGGGCAAATTCACCTCAGCCAAAAGCCACTGGCACGCCTGCTTACCACTACCAACTGCTCTGGAAAGGGTCACATTCGAAAGGTCTTGAATAAAATAGAAGAACAATGTGGAACAGGCCTCAGAATCATACAAGACAGGACTTACTGGTCAGGTAGACATAGGGGGCCCCAAGACGACGGTCCTCAATGTTTAGAGCTGCACTCACCTCCATGTTAGCATAGTCAACTATTTAAGATCAAAAGAACAGCATTTACCCAAGGACAAACGTCAGCAGGCTAGGGAAGAAGGGGGGCTGGAATCGAGCACAGAAGTAGTAGGCTAAGTGATAGGACATCGAGGGAATTACAATGGATGAGTTAAAACAATGTGTATGAATTATTGAATGTAAAACTAATGATCTGTTCTGTAAACCAACACGTAATTCAAATAAATCATTTAAAAACAAATTCACTGACCCAAAAATGTGGCCTGAGAAACAAAATGTGGTGACTGCCTGTCTAGTTACATATTGCTGATGACGTGGGTTGTTACAAAATTGGAATGTTTTTCAGACACATGACCTTGCCTTAGTATAATGTTGTTTTCACAAATAAATATATTCATAATAAACTCCCTTGCTTGCAAGTATTTTTTTAGAGTTCAGTTTGTATTGGTCATTTGTTTGAGACTAGAATAAATTAGATGAAATCTAGTTCGACCTTCGAATAAAAACGAATTGATTTCTCAGCTAGTTTTTCGTCCTCCGGAAAAGAAAGAGACATGACCATACTAGTGCCATCCAATATTTATGATACCGATGGTGAGTGAGGCTGGGTTCTTGAGAGAAACAAAACCAGTGATATGTGTACGTGTTTGTATGCAGGAAAAGCGATTTCTATCAAGAGATGGTGAAGCTGACAACAAGAAGCGGTGGTGAAGCAGGTGGGGTGGGGCAGGCTGGTGGATAAAGAGGTAAATGAATCTGAGGTTCACCAAATTCATCCATATAAAGTTAGCAGGTCAGGCATGTCACTGGGCAGGCAGAATGAATCCCAGCCTGCCAGGTCAAACGGCAGGCCATGATGGCTCCCAGCATCAAGCATGCACTAAGATAGGCTATTGGCTTAAGGTCGAAGAACTGGAAATAGATGAACCAGATGCATGAGGCAGACCCAGCAAAAAGCACAGAAGCTTTCCCACAGCATCTACTTATAACATAGGCCACCCCACTCAGTCACATCAGAGGGGCTAGATAGTGAAAACGATGAAACTCTTGGCTACTAACTAGAAAGTTTGGAGGTCAAGTTCAGCCGGAGACATTAGCTCCTCAGAAGAAAGGCTTGCTGATGTACTTCTAAAAGGAATCAACTCAATAGCAACTGGTAACTACTTTGGTAACCAACCCCTTCATTAGCCGATGTAGGAACCCTGGTGATGCGGTCGTTAAGCATTGGGTTGCTAACTGCAGGACATGATTTGAACCCACCAGGCAATCCACAGGAGTAGCATGACGCATTCTGCTTCCCTCAACATTTAGTCCTGTCCTACAGCGTCCCTGGGACTTAATGGCAGTAGGTTGAATAGTAGCCGCTACAGTAAAAACCAAACACAAAAAAGAGTACTGATAGGTTTAAATGCTTTTCTTGAATAAATAAAGCCAGCCAAGTTGTTCCTTGTAGATTTGATTTTGACGCTTACTGTATGACAAATATTAATTGGGACCCAACATTTTACTGTAATTTAAAAAGGTAGGGGTGACTGGTACAGCTTAGTCTAGTTAAACACTAACTTGTATCTTACACATCCACTGGGTGACTCCCACTAATTGTTCATTACTTATCTAAGAGTTCTTCACATTCCGAAGTAATGTAAGATACTGAAGACCACTCAGTGTGGCTTGATACATGTTTCCTTTTGTTTGCAACTTGACATGCAAGATTTCATCCTTCCCTGAACCAGGCTCTTCATTACTATATCTGGTGGTATGTGTGGGGGAGGGATAGGAAGTTGCATGTCAAGAGGTAAATGCTCTAGTTTTGAGAATGACAAAGAAACATTTGCTCAAGACATTTCTAAAACAGCCAACTTATACTAGTATCTCTTTTTAAAATGTGGCTTGTTTTTTATTTAGGAACAGACTAAACCACGTGATATTTAATTTGTTCTCAATCCTGTTATGGACAAATTAAGACACGCATTTCATATCCCCAAATTTATTCCAGGGCTCTTTAGATGAAAAAAGTGGTAACTATGTCATGAATTTTTAAAATCCCTTCATATTTTATTACTTGTTTGAAGAGCAAAGATATAAATGTTATTTTAACAGCCATTATTTGTTTACATACATGCTATTAGTATATTGGTTGCAAATTTCAATACATCTACCAGGAAGACCTGAATCATCAGTATCCTAAGTGGGTAACTGGATTTCAAACAGCAGCAGCGCCTGGCAGTGTCCTGGCCAAAAGTAACTAAGGCTCCAACAGTCCACCAATTCTCCTCTCTCAGAGCCCCTCCAGGCCGGAGGAGCATATGGCAGCTTTCCGCACTAGGAACCTGGGAAAGGAACTGTCAAAAATCAAAGCTGTCCAAAAGAATGTTAGAATCTTCTCCATTTATTCTCCGCCTCTTAGTAAAACAGCACTTTCAAACAGGAACAGAGCTCTCTGACATTTCCTGCCAGGCCCCTCCAATCCCCATTTCTAGGAAAATGAGGCAGAAGTACCAATTTTTTGTTGCCCCTCGGTTCCCATTTCTGAATGGCGACTCAGAAGCTTGTGACTTTGTGGCTTCTTTGCTTGAAACCTCTCTTTGTGTGATATTACCTGCACAGGAACCTAGACATCATCAATTGTGTCCCATAATAGTGCATGTTGGAATTAGAAAGTATACCATCCATTTATTCTTCCGGGGAAAAAATTCAGGTACAGCTTTTCTTCCACCTTCTAATATTATGCGCTGTCTAAATAACTGTTAATGTGATTAAGGTGCTTGGTGCAAACTCGAGGAAAATGTTCTTGAAATAAGGTGCATAGCACATAACAAAGGAAATGAAATTCTGTCTGATTTCAACACAATCTGAGAAGTAATGATGTCAAGAAGGAAAGAAAAAGAGGCTAGGGTTTCAATCTTAGCACTGAGAGAAGGTATTTCATAGTTGAAATTAGGAGAGAATAAAGTGAAAATCTTTTTTTTAATTTTAAGGAAAGCAGTACTTTGGACATGTGTGTTAGAAATCTCTAGGGGAGAAAAACCACCCTCGATTAAAAAAACATACTTCCTGGGTATCTTTCCAACCCTGTGATAATTGTCCAAGGCAAACGTAGGAAAGAGTTTTAATACTTGTGGGGTGTTTTGTTTTACTGCTGTACTCTATCAAGCCAAGTTTATCCCTTAAATAAAGAATTGTATCTGTAGAATATTTAATGATTGCTTTCCTACAGGGTCAATAATGATTTGCTAGAATATATGCTGCCATTAAAAAACATGCACGCAAAAAAGCAAGTTGATATCCAGTAGATTCTGATTTGAGGCAACTCCATGCACGAGGAGGTCAGAGTAGACCCTTGCTCCACAAGGTTTTCAGTAGCTTTTTTTTAGGAAGTAGTTCATTAGACTTTTCTTCCAAGTCACCTCCGGATGGACTCAACGCTCCAATCCTTTGGTTATTAGCCCGGTAGATAACAATGTGCACCACCCAGGGACTCTTAGTTTTTGATGGGATTAAAGTGAAGCATGGAGACAAGAAAACACATGAGAAGAGAAGCCAGGAAGCAGTGAATGATGATGCCCACCAACTGGAATGGCCTTCCTCCTTTTAAGAGTCCACTGAGGTCCTTCCCAATAGAGCAGAGGTTCTCAACCTGTGAGTCACGACCCCTTTGGGGGGTGGAGCAACCCTTTCACAGGGGTCACCCGATTCATAACAGTAGCAAAATCACACTGATGAAGTAGCAACAAAAATAACTTTATGGTTGGGGTGGTCACCACCACATGAGGAACTGTATTAAAGGGTCAGAGCATCAGGAAGGTTGAGAACCATTGCAATAGGATTAATAAGAGAAGACGTCCCTGGTTGCATGATAGAAGGTTTGATGTGGACCATGAGTGATTGGTTTAAGATTGGGAAGACGGGAAGGTGGAGACCCTCAGGTAAGGAGAATGACATTTGGAAAAGATAAGAATGGGTAGAGAGGTTGAAGACATTGAGTGGAAGAGTGGAGTGACGAGGTAGGAAGAACTCTTGCTAGACTGT